ATCAGCGCCTTAAGTGTTCTATCCACAATGCTGAAACTTGGGGCAAACTGTCATTAATTAAAAAACTGGGGAATGAGCAGGCAAGAACTTGATAAAAGCCATTTCATGCAAGATGGCTAAGACATCAGTCATCTTCACAGCTTTTAGTTTTTTGAATGTCCAATCAGATGGCAATAATTTCTTCCAAATATCCACATACTTGCAGTCAGTTGTGTATGTGGAACCCAATATATGAAGCTGCTCTAAATTCGGGGAGCCTAAAATCAAATGAAGAACGACAAGTATCCTGTCCAAATCTTCAAAACTAACTTGATGTAGTTCAATAACTTTGAGATGGTGGTGAATCACAGGTTTGCTTTCTGTGTCAATAAACTGAGATACTTTGTGAAGTATATATGCCCGATAAGCTGTTCAAGATGAGGGACATTACCAAGAAGCTTCTCAAAATTGCAACCAGACTTTTGTTCAAAGTGCTCTGCTTTATCTTCAGTCATATATACATAATACATGGCAACACATATAGTAACCAAATTTGGGGTATTTTCAAGAAATATATCCTTAAACTCTCCTGCCATATTTAAGTATCTTCGCTTCGATTTCCAAATAGTGTGCTCAAAACTTGGGCACTGGGCAGCCCGGTGCATAGTGGCATCCGTGCAAGGCGAGAGGCCGTTCTCACGACTTGAAATTGTGGCCTCCCGATCATACGACAACATAATAACAGGTGTGTCAAAGCTCTTTTTCCGCTATATTTAAGCACCATTACTGATAAATATTCTTTAGTTATTAAAAACACATTGTATATAGCAAAAAATACGTTGTTAAAATGTTGAAGATGAAGCATATTATTTGATAAACTGGTTAACTGCGAGTCATGAAGAATATTATCTCCTAACTAATGCTTAGACAGTTGAAACTTAGACGAGCTCACATACAATCTTCTTTTTTCTATTTATTTGAAAATTATCTACAGCTATCTTTTAATGGAAACATTTATGGTTAATACAATTTCAATTTTAGCAAATCAAACATTTTGTAATATATTTAAACAATGTTCATCATCATCATCATCATCACCCCAGTGCCGCAAAGGCTCCCACTTCCGGTGCGGTACGGAGGGGTCGGGTGTATGCAGCCTTACCCCTATACTAAAGGATAGAGAGATTGTTTTCGAATGACCCGTAGTGAAAATCGCGTTGAAAATTGCATGGACTGACTACTACTTCATAACAAAGAAGTGCACACAGTTTAGTGAACCATTTTGCTTTATTCCATAATGAGTTTTTGGCTCCATTGCAAATGATGGAAATTTATTTAAACAATGTTAATATATAAATATTTGAATTAGAGAGGGAAATGATCAAGTGTGTAATTCTAATTCATTTAAGTTGCAAATAGATAAGTATGTTTATAATAACCAATTTAAAGTACAAAAAAGGTACCTATGGTTGGGCGCACTTTCAGATAGGGACATGTGTTTCATTTCTTAACAAAGTAAATCCCGTGTTTTGATTTCTTTATCACTGGAGGGGTCCGAGAGTCCGACACTTAATGTCGTTAGAAGTCGGCGTAGGAAGGCAATGAAAGATAACTCCGATTTTCAAAAGTGCTCGAAAAATTAAAAGGAACAATATTGGGAGATGCATATCGTCAAGGAGAACTTCATACTATCTTCCTTTTTTGTTTCCAGCAACCCTTATCGCCGGAAAGTCCATCGAAAAAGTGATATTGGTGAATGAGTTTTTAAAGTAATCCACAAAGAGCGTAATATCCAAAAATGAAGATGGTTTGAAGTTCACCTTGATGAGGCGCACCTCTCAATATTTGAATTTTTATTTTCTAGACACTTTTGAAAATCAGAGTTATTGTTCATCGCCTTCCTCCTGTGCTTTCTAACTGTGTTAGGCGTTGGACCCCTCTAGTGATAACCGAATCAAATCATGTGGACTACTTTGTGAAGAAATTAAACATAGATCCCTAATAAAAACGCGTTCAACCACATGCACATTTTCCGTATTTTTCCCTATTATTTATTATGTGCAGAATATAACTGTAAATAGTATCATTCATATGTATTCAATTCAAAATTCGCTTACTATAAACTGGAGTACTTCAGATCTTTCAATTGAGGCAACAATTAAAAAAATTGTGTAAAGCATTGAAAAGGGAAACAACATTTTGTAATTTCAAAAAAAAATTCTGTCACATACCGCGAGTCTCAATAAACAAAAATGATATGTGTTCCCTATTAAAACATAGTAAAACTAAAAGGCAAGGCAAACTTGAATATGGAATATACACTTAAACTTGAAATGTTTTTCTAAAAAAAAAACTTTTGAAGATTATGAGCCCGTTTGGTAACACTGGAATTGACTGAATCGGCCGAATATCTCGAAATTTATGAAATTTTAGCTGAAGTGGTTGTATTGGTTGAATGTGCTAAATTATGAGGGAATATTTTTAAGATATATTTTGTTAATAGGGTTAAGAGAAAGTTACATGAGAAAACACCTAAAATAGTGCTCTATGATAAATTCAGCCGATCCATCCAAAAAAGTAACTTCAATTTTATTTTTTTTTAATTGTCTATCGATGCAGCGCGCAAAGTAAAAATTTATGTGTTTGATAAAAAAATAGGGATTACCAAACGGACTCTACGGGTTTAGATATAATGTTTCAATGGCATGAAAATGCAATTCAGAGTTTTAAATGTTACCATCCTTTGGTGTCAAGTGAATACTCAAAAGGCAGAAAATTTGCGGCAAATTTAAGTCATTATATCTCTTTCGGATTTGTAAATTAGTACCTTCAACAACTGAGCCCAACTCTAAAAAATCCAAGGATAAAGCTTTACATGTGATGGTACCATGGATCACAGTCATGGCTCAAGATTGAATTAAAGCAAAGCTCATCAACGGGATCAGCCCATCAACAGGATCGGCCCATCAATCGGGATCAATGATAAATAGCCGTTGGGCCTAATTAAGAATCAGGCCCACGATAGGAACCCACAACCAGGCCAGGCTGGACAGCAGACCTCGAGCCTGGACGGAGTTCTAGTGAGGCCGGGATATTCCCAGATCTTACGTGGCAGGCTATCATTCATGCAAGATAATCACGAATTAAAGGAGATAATCATTGCACAACGTCCAAGGCATTACATGAGTCTTATTCGACTAGAATGTAATCAATACTCCGTAGCATTTATTGTATCAGTTTCCTCCTACAATATTAGCTCCTAGAGTCTATAAATACTTCCTGTGTATTTCCTATGAAAGGATCCAAACTCCGGAAGAATAAACACTGTCTTACGCTGCCCATATTTCATCTGTTCTCATAGATATAGCTTTTGTAGTTGGATTAAACTTCATCTAACATTCATTTAGTATATTGAAAGATCGAGAACTAAGAGCACTTCATTATGACAAACATCTTGGGAGATATGCAATAATGGGCGATAAAAAACAGTTTGTGGATCAAAAGAAACCACTTTAACAGAAACAGCGAATGATTCAAAATTGTTTTCAAAGATAGCAAAAAATGTTTTCTTGCTATCTTTCATTAACGTTCACACAACAAAGCGAAATTAACAATCTGATTATATATGTTATTAATAATAGTTTTTTTTGGCAGATGTCTATTGCATGATGGTTACTGTTATTCAATTTGTATATATTGAAAGCAAAGAAAGTTGTTGAAACTGTAATTTTAACTTAGAGTCGGGGTGTAAGATTTGATAGTCAACAACTCAATACAAAGAATTTTGAACTTTGATTTGGATTTAAATTGCATTCGTACAGAGTGCATGTATAGACTTCATTCAATTCCTTAACAATTTATATATCTTAGCGCATGCAATTGCCTAAAGAAATTCCACATGCATTTCGTATTGTTTATTGAGTTGAATTATTTAGTGCATTCTTATCAAGCTCAAACTCAAACGTGTGCAAGTTCAAGCTTGGCTCAACAAGTTTGCACTCTACAAAAGTGTTAGCTTATGACAATTAGAAATAGAAAGAGTAAAAGAGTAAAGGACAGTCCAATGCATATTGACATCCCCGCAAGGTGAGGGTTCGGGGAGGGTCACACCACAAGGGTGCGTATAAGGAGAAGTCTTCCCTTGTCATTTCATAAGATGTCACATTGTCGCTAATACTACTTGAACCCGTGAACTAGAATAAAAAGAGTTGAGTCTATTACAAAAGAAAAACAATGGGGAATTGGGGATCTCCCACAATATATCTTAACAAAAGAATTAAACAAAGAGACTGAAACTAAAATAAAAGAGCACAAAGAAAAATGAAAAATTTGTGCCAAAAGGTTGAATCATCAGTCTCAAAAGCTCTCCAGTCTCCACGCTCTGACCCGACAGAGCATTTAAGGGCTGTAAATCATGGTAATTCAGCTAAACAATAACAACACCCAAGCCTTAATCCCAAAAAAATTTGGAGTCGGCTAACATGAATAGATCCATGATATAAGAGCCAAAAAGAGAAGATAAGAAGAATAAAAAGATAAAGATAAAATGGAATAATGGATAAGATAAAGATAAATCATCATCATTACCCCATTGCCGCAAAGGCTCCCACGTATGGTGGGGTAGGGAGGGGGTCGGATGTACGCAACCTTACCCATGTATTAAAGCACAGAAAGACTGTTTCCGAATGACCCATAGTGAAAATTGCATCAAAGATAAAAGATAAATATAAGATAAAAATATAATTCAGCTAAACATGTAGGCTAAATCAGCGCCAACTGCGCACAAGGAGCCCTCACTTTGAGAGGTTGTTGGCGCATTGCTGCTGACAGGACTCCATTCTCAGTTACTTGTGCCAAACTTTGAACTGCCCATGCAGGCGAAAAATGAAGAACTGAAACTTGCTGAATGCTGCGCACAATCAGGACATAGTCTGCGTGTCTCCAGCAAATGTATGGGTGCACAGGGAATGAAATGGGTGCGAAGCTAACGAAAAAAACAGATCTATTGTAAAAATAGTTGCCTGACAAACACATATCATCCCGAGGTGTAACAATAAATATTCTTATTTGATGACCTTTAGTATTTCAAAGGAAAGCAGAAAAAACTCCTGTAATCCATCTCTCTTTAACCATTTCAAAACTGAAACCCTTCTATGACAACTAAAATCTTTCCCTACTATGCTTGAACATAAAACTTCCAGTTCGCTCCCGCCAAAACTCAATTTACAAGCAATCAATGAAAACGAATAATGCTAACAGGTGTAATGAGCAAAATCAAAAGGAAAAAACTTGCCCAAATTTGAGAATGAGCGTAAGCAATAGAAAAAGACCACGGCTAGCCAATGATGTCAATGCTGTTGCTGATATCATGCAAATTTGGAGCTGAAAACCCCATTTGATCCTGGGATTTGCACTAGTCGCATTAATGGAAACGAGGGATGAGAAAGGCGAACTTGGCTTGGCAGAGTGTATGTATGCTGTGCGCCAGCTATGAAAGGAGGAGCCACACGCAGTGGAAATGTTTGTGTCGCAGTATTTCCTGCAGTAAGAGATTTTGTTTCATTAGAGACCCCTCAAGCTCATAAACCAAAAAACAAACTCCCTCTGTTTTTTTGTTCTAGAAAGAGAACCATTTCAAAAAACTGAGCTAATTTTTACATAACTTGCCCAAAAAATAATTAATAGGTTCAATGCAATAATATAGTTAAATAAAAGTAATAATAATTTAATTCATAAGTGGGATTGCATATCTTTTAATAGTGAAACCTTTTGCCAATTTTACATTTTGTGCCTTCATCAAACTGATGAAGTCTTCTATATTTTTTGGGGAGGAGGAAGTACTTAAAGCAGGATGGGTCAAATTATTACTTCATCCGACTTACAATGTGTTGTTTTGAAAGAAATCACGCAGACTAAAATGTTATTAAATGGATATAAACTTTACGATAGCCCTTGCTAAAATATAATCATCATTGAAGATAGATTTTGTGCAGGGCATGGTCTTAAAGATGGGAAAATAGCATGAAGTCCTGTCTAGGTTTTACAAAATGACATATTCTGAGCTGAAACATTTCCTCCAAAACGAGTTACTGTGAATAGAAAACTCATAATCAAATATTAAATTATGATTTTAAATTGTCCACAACTAAGGCATATCCTGAGATCACGGGAGTCAATAGATATCATATGAATGTTTTACTGTGCAGTAAAAAAGTAGGGCATGACATAATCTCTTATCTTAGACTATACCTTGATGCTTAGCGAGATTGGCCTGAAGTGGATTTAACGAAGTACATGAGGGTACTTGAGAGAACCCTGAGGTACTCTGCACAACACCCTAAAACATACACAGAGAAGGGAATCAACAAATAAGAGCTCATCTTAATGCCTACAGGTAAACATAAGTTATAAAATAGATGTCTCCCAACATGGCTAAGCTATCCAGCATGTATCTTACATGAGAAACGGGATGCACATACACAACTGGCCCCAAATGTCCAACTGTGACCTGCAATTATAATTAAAAGTTGAAAATGAAGATAAACAAAAAAGATGTCTGGAACACGGAAAATCATAGAGAAAGATTAAATTCTGGGGAAAATTGTTCTTTAATGTCTATTTCCTCACGAAATACAAAGGAAGTTCAAATTTGATTAAAAATTTATTATTTTTACAATATATCAATATATTTATAATTCATTCTCTATATGATGGAACCCATGGTGTTAATCAATTTTATACTGTTATACAATTAATTGGCACTACCGATTTTTTAATTTTTCCCCAAGTTTTATTTCCTTCCGAATCCACGCTCTACCCCTTCTCCGGCAATTTTCTTTTTTTAACATTATTTGGTTCCAAATTGAGTCAAGAAAAGGCACTGCAAGCAGGAAAAAGCGAAAGCCTGAAAGCTGCTCTCATGATACATGATTTTGTCACAACTGCACACTTGCATTATGTTTGTATGATAGGGACCCGGTAGAATAATATGGAGTAGTAAATAAGAAGAGTACTAGCTAGAGTAGTATAAATAGGAGGGCAGTGTGTAATAAAGATAGGCTGTTAGACAGTTAATTGGGACTGGGAGGAACTGAGATATTGGCATCTCGTTTCTTGGAAACTCTCTGTAATCTTTTCACCATTAATGAAAGCTTGAATTCCTTCTTGAATACTATTTTCCTTTCTCTGCATTCTATACCAATCTGCGAGACTTCTATCAGTGGTATCAGAGCACGTCGCTTCCTGGAGACAGAGAATCTGAATCATCCATCATCCCAGAGCATCAACAACCTGGAGCAATGGAGGAATTCTATATGTCACCACAAATGGAAAAGAGTTTTGACAATATGATTCGGCAGGAGAAGGAGATACATGCTAGGTTGGACAGTATAATGCGTGACTTGGGGCATCTACATCGTAGCATGCATTGATCGAGGAACACTAGGCATCATCCGCGATCTGACAAACAAAGTTCGTTGCAGTCGCTCACCAGTTCGCAGACTGAGTCACGCATAGAATAATAATAAATGAGAAAAAGAATAATGATAGAGTAGTTAGTAGCTAATAACTACATTCTGTTAGTGGGGAATTCTATACATAGAAGATAGTTGGGAATAGTTAGAGGGCTGTTATGGACTTTAAGTCTTTTCTGGGAAGATCAGAGTTGTATCTCTATCTTTTGGGGGGCTTCGGCTCATTGTTGCCTGTTGAATAAAAGTTGCCTTTGAGTTCTTGAATCAATACCTGTAAACTGTTAGTATAATCTGCAGGTTCTAACATTGGTATCAGAGACGGATGATCATTGTGGATGGTTTGGACGCGAGGAAAGATGGAATCGAGAATAGATGAGTTGGAGAAGATGTTGACAGAAGTTCTCGCCAGACTGGATGCCAGAGATCAATATCGATCGCATCGCTCATCTGCATCGTATCACACTTCTCACCATCTTCCGCTACCTGACAAACGAGGTTCGTCGCCATCGCTCACCAGTTCACAGACTGAATCGCGATCTGTTTCTTTTAGTTCGCAATCGTGAACTTCTTCTTACCCTTCGCAGACTTACTCACCTGCGATCAATTCGCGTCCAAGAAAGACACTATTGAGAGGAGAATCTTCATCGTCTCCAATCGATTCTCACGGTTCGTCTTCTTCCTCTCAAGCTGTTTTTCTGAGTGCGCAAAGAGTTTCTTCTGGTCCTCTGGCTTCGACGCAAGCAGGAGTCCCCAGTTCGCAGGTTTCTTCAATCTCCAGATCTCACAGCTCATCCTATCTGGTCATCGCATCAGAAAAGGGATCTTCAGGGACTCCACCAACAACAATAAACACAGAATTGGAATCGGTTGTACCTTCAGTTAAGGAAACAGACCCTGAAGAGGAATGCAATGAGAAATCTTCAGTTAATCTTGGACCTGCATTTGGAGCAATTACTCGTTCCCTCAAGTGTGACAAACTCTCCACCTTGAATAACAACCGCATAGATTGGAGTTCTTTTAGAGAAAATGAATTTTCTTCATCTGACAGGCAAGGTTGGAACCAAAGAATTAGGACGAAGGTGCTGGGTGATGCAGGAGCTGATTTTGTACTCTCGGCCAAAAAGAGTTGCTTGGTTACTATGGTGCTTCACACTAGCAAAGATTGTGCCATTTTAGAGATAGCCTGGGTTCTTCCAGTCTCTGTTTCAAGTCACCAGGTGAAAAGGGACTCTCCTTTTGAGGAATGTGAAATGGCAGAGAAATTTTGGTGGAGTAGTTCTATGGGAGTTGTTTGGTGGAATGATATGGAGTGTACTCCAAATATGGCGGAGGATGGCATTGTTTTACTAAAAAGCATCATGGCAGTCAATCATAATTCAATGGGAGAAATCTCAAATGGAATTGAAGCTATTTGTAGTTCAAAAGTTTCTGATGAGCAGATTCAAGACGATGAGAATCCTGATGTTCAGGTCATGAACACAAATTCTGCTTCTGTTGCAAGTATTATACCTCAGGGATGCATGAAAATATTTGTGGCTATTGAAGGCCTGAAGACTAAGAAAGAAAATAAAAATTCACCAGAGATAATATATGCTGCAGTAACATCTGTGAATTGGAAGAATCAAGTACGGAAGCTCTTTTCTCAGAAATCAGTTAGATATTGGGAAGGTAGAAGCGCCAGGATGAAGAGGAAGCAGAAGATCATAGCTACTTCCTATTACCCACCTTGAGGGCAAGGTGGATGTTTAGGGGGGAGTATTGTTAGGGACCTACTTAGAATAATAATAGAGTAGTTAGTAGCTAATAACTACATTCTGTTAGTGGGGAATACTATAAATAGAAGATAGTTGGGAATAGTTAGAGGGCTGGTTTGGACTTTAAGTCTTTTCTGGGAAGATCAGAGTTGTATCTCTATCTTTTGGGGGGCTTCAGCTCATTGTTGCCTATTGAATAAAAGTTGCCTTTGAGTTCTTGAATCAATACCTGTAAACTGTTAGTATAATCTGCAGGTTCTAACATCCAGCTGTTTCTTTTTCTCTCGTGCATCTGGATGGAAAAGGTCCAAGTAGTCGTGACTCACCTGCCAACTTGTGGGTGGACTTTTTGACAGGAGAGCTCAGAATTACAGATTATATCACTAAGAAAACAGTGGGAAGTTATGTGGAACAATATATTGAAGTCGATCACAAGGTAATATGGAAGCAAGACTTGAAAAAATGGCCAGGTATCTTTCCGGTAAAGGAAAGGCTTACCTGCAAGAAAACCAATTTTGGAAGTTTTACATGGTAGATAGGATTTCCTGTTCCATAGTTGGGAGAAGGCTACATGTGAATTAATTGTCTAGATCAATCAAATTTCATTTCATTTTGTGATGAAAATGGTCATACAATGATCTAACTCTCGCAGATTGATATAGAATGCAGAGAAAGGAAAATAGTATTCAAGAAGGAATTCAAGCTTTCATTAATGGTGAAAAGATTACAGAGAGTTCCCAAGAAACGAGATACCAATATCTCAGTTCCTCCCAGTCCCAATTAACTGTCTAACAGCCTATCTTTATTACACACACCCCTCCTATTTATACTACTCTAGCTAGTACTCTTCTTATTTACTATTATTCTACCAGGTCCCTATCATATCTCCCCCATCTTTCAATATCACAGACATTTCAGCAGCAGAAAAGATTTCTAGTGAAGATTCATTCGTTTCAGTAATTTTTCAGCACTCAATAGCAACAGATATTTCTTTACTTTTATGTGGCTCCTTATAGTTTCTATGTGCTGAAACTAATACTGTACTGGATGCCAACTTCTCTATGTACCTTTCAACTTCTTCCTCTTTCAATTCTTTGTCTATCTCATTTGAGAAGGAAGGTATAAAAGGATTTAAGAAGCAAGGAAAGAGATATCCTATTAATTGTAGCGTTTCAGTTCAGCTCTTTAATTTACCATAACCTTATGTCAATTTTACCCTCCCGTTATTCAAATTTAACATTTTTAAGTCGTTATTTCAGCTGTGCAACCAAACGAGTCTACTTCATTTAATTAGCATTTCAGTTTTAGCAGCTTTTATCTAGCTCCAGAAAATAGAATTTAGCTTCAGTTCATTTGTCCAAACATAGCCTTGATATATCATATGCTATACATTAGGGGGTGAAGCCTCCCAAACAAGAGAAAGTTTAAGCAAAATAAAGCGGGTTGGTGATTAACCACTATGATTGCATACATTTTCTGTGATAGGATGCATATACCCAGTCCCAGCCAGAGGTTGATCATACTGACTACCATACCTAGGCACTGTCCTGTTTCCAGTGTATCCCATTCCCTACATATTTATGTACAAAAAATAGTCCTTTGGTTAAGTAAATAAAAAAATATGCATCATAAATGAAATCTACAATAGAAACACTAAAAATGGACAAATATATAAGACATTGGCATAAACAACAACTAATATTGGACTAGCTCATACTACAGAGTGGAAAAATTGTGTATCCATATTCCATATAAATTTTACTCTCTAAATGAAAAGGGTTTACAAGTCAGCAACTGCATAGAAAATAAAAACTTTAGAATTCTACATTGGCCACTTCATTCAAACTAACTTCTTACACATTCTGCATTTCTTCATGCAGGTACTGAAAACATTTGCATATAAATATAATTGGACAAGATTTGGATGGGGTAGAGCTAACTTCTCACACAAGTTTGCATTGTAGGATACATATAAAGAGCATACAAAGAATTAAATAGACCAAATTTGGGATGTGCCAGTATGGCCCCTCCCTTGCTCTGCCAATAATATAAAAGAATACTTACAGGTTGGACATACTGTACATCAATGTTGCCATTTCCTGCAACCAAATTGTTATATTGGAAAAGCTTAATAGGGAGAGAAGACCGAGGAGGAAGAGATGCACCGATTTCAACTTCAGGTTCAGGAGTAGCAACTGGTACCACATGACATGACTCAGGCACATAAGCCATTGTTTGCATTGCAGGAGGGTTAACAGCTCTTTGGTGAATAAGAGATGGACGGAATATCTTGGCCCCTGGGTTGAGCTTAGACTCCTGGCATGTACGATAAGAATCAAATGTTAATTTTTTAAATGAAAATCAAATACTAGCATGAACTTTTTACAAACGAGTACTACCAATTACTGCTGTTGAATGAAAGTACGCAGAGTATACTAAGATAACATAGTCCTATTGCAAGTGACCAATCGGTTAGATTGGAAGAAATCCGGTTGTCCACTCAAAGTATCAAATATTAAAAGTTTCACTTGGAAATAACAAAGAAATACACATGGGATTATTAGGCATTCGGTTAGACTAGCTAATCTGTGTCATATGCCAGATGTTCATTATAGCTCAGTTGAATGAATGATAGGAATCGGGCCTAATAGACTAATAATAATAAGTGTACTAGATTAGTATCAATAGAATAAGCTGGGAGAGGTCAAGGAGGCTGTTTAGACATTTGGTCTGGGACTGGGAAGATTGAGATTATTCTCTCTTTTCGGGGGCTTCGGCTCATTTGGGGGCTTCGCCCATTGTTACTGTTTACCGATCAATAATTTCTGTTCCTCCTCAATTAATCAATAAAGTTGCAGATTGTTTTCTTGATAATCTTTCTGTGAATTGTCTGATTACTCATTGAGTTCTAACATTGGTATCAGAGCCCTAGATCGCTGTGGAAGACTGTTACGCGTGCAAAAATGGAAGCCAGATTGAATGAACTGGAACGAAATCAGCAACAAGCATCCGCGACCATGGCAGCGGCATTAGCTGCAATCCAAGCGAGCATCGCGAACCTGGAAGGAAGAGTTCAGAGCAGATCACATGCGTCACATTCCTCGCATCGCACATCGCATCACCAGTATACACGACAACCAGCGAGTTCGGAAGGATCGGAGAACAATTCCGACTACTCTCCTACACATCGCCATCGCCATCATCACAGGGAGTGTCATCATCATCAAACAGGTAGGAAGATCGACTTACCTATTTTTAATGGAGAAGATGCTTTCGGATGGCTGGTTAGAATGGATCGTTACTTTCGCCTGAATAATACCACTGAAGAAGATAAAATTGACGACGCTATTATTGCTATGGAGGATCAAGCGCTCAGTTGGTTCCAGTGGTGGGAGAACCAAGCGCTACAGAAGAACTGGGAAATTTTCAAGGAAGCACTGACTAGACGTTTTCAACCAGATTTCGTACAGAATCCATTGGGACCTCTGCTTAGTTTGAAACAAAGAGGATCAGTGAAGGAATTCAGGGAACAATTTGAAGTAGCTATTGCTTCCCAAGGACATCTAAGTGAAGAAGTATTGAAAGGAGTATTTCTGAATGGGCTTAAACGTGACATAAGGGCTGAATTGAAGCTTCACACTACCAGAACTCTGGCTAAGGTCATGGATAAGCCACTGCTAATTGAAAATAAGAACAATGAAGCCATGATCAAGAAGAATAAAGATGAAGGCAAGAAAAGGTGGCAAGGAAAAGCAGGGAATGAAGATCATCATCAAAATTAGGGAGATAGCAGTAGATGGAGGAGTAGTCCTAATGCTACTACAAGTTCTGGCAAGATCATCAATGAAAGTAAGCCAAATGACAAGGTGGAAGAATCAGCCAATTCTGTTCAAAAGAAGATAAGTCCCAGATTAACACAAAATGAACTGCAGGAGATGAGTAGGAAGGGGTTATGTTTCAAATGTGGGGAAAATTGGAACCAAGGTCACATTTGCAAAATGAAACACTACAAATTTGTTCTTGTGGAGGATTCTGAAGGAGAAGAAGAGTCTGAATCTGTCACGAAGGATACCGAGGAAGAGGGAATTGAAATGGAATTCAAAACTATGCAATTGTCCTCAATGAGTAAAGGAGGGATTCCAAGCATGAAAACCTTCAAGATGAAAGAAGAATTGAAGTGGGAATCTGGAGAACAGAAGGTTGAAATCCTTATTGATAATGGTGCAACCCATAACTTCATTTCTCAAGAGGTAGTGAGAAAATTGGAGTTACCATACCATACGATAGAAGGATATTCTGTACAGATAGGTAATGGAAATCAAATACCAAACTATGGCAGATGTGAAGGGTTGAAATTGAAACTACAGGGGCTGAAAATACAGCAACCTTTCTATATTCTAGAATGGGGGGAACATATATGGTGTTGGGCATGGAATGGTTGACAAGCTTGGGAGATACGGATATTAACTTCCAAAATCAGACCATCAAATGGAAGGTACATGGGCAGAAGGTAATTATACAAGGAGATCCTTCATTAAGTCAACTGGGAACTTATAAGGAGATGAAGAGCCTGGTAAATAAGAATGGAGAAGGAAAATTGCTGAACTATCATGAGTTATCTACTGATATTGAAGAAGAAAGTGTTCAAAAGCAAGAAATTGCTGTCCTCTGTGCCTTAGCCTCCACAGAATCTGAAGGAATCAAATTTCTGGATAAAATGTTCTGGCATCTGTGTAACTCTGCTGTGAAATACATATGGAAGAAGATGGAAGTAGCAAAGCTAAAGGTTCAGCAACCAATCAAGCATTGGAAAGGGAGAGGTGCTAGGATGAAGGAAAAGAAGAAGATTTTGGCTGTTTCCTATCACCCACCTTGAGGGCAAGGTGGATGTTTAGGGAGGAGTATTGATAGGAATCGGGCCTAATAATAATAATAATAATAAGTGCACTAGATTAGTATAAATAGAATAAACTGGGAGAGGTCAAGGAGGCTGTTTAGACATTTGGTCTGGGACTGGGAAGATTGAGATTATTCTCTCTCTTTTGGGGGGCTTAGGCTCATTTGGGGGCTTCGGCCATTGTTAATGTTTACCGATAAATAATTTCTGTTCCTCCTCAATTAATCAATAAAGTTGCAGATTGTTTTCTTGATAATCTTTCTGTGAATTGTCTGATTACTCGTTGAGTTCTAACAATGAATGACCTGATCCAATTATAAATTATATCAGTAATGAATCAATGTGCATTTAACTATTTAATGTCATAATATGATCCTGAGACAGTTGCAGAGCTTTATGGTTTATGAAGTGGTTGCAAAAAAAACAATACAAGCACAAAGATTAAAATTCTTGCAACAAGGGCCAAACTACAACATCTAACTTGCCTTTGCAGATTTGTTACAGATTGAACTTCTTGGAGGCACTAGATCAGTCTGAAAATGTGATGAACTGGGGAAAACTTTAGAAGGTGTAACATCTGAAACAGATGTACCTTCTTTTGGAACACCAGATGGAGAAATAGCAGATCTTTGATTAATTTCAAGTTTGGCCAATGACACAATGGGAGTGTCAGAACAAGCAATAACAGGTGACTGTCCCAAGCTTTCCCTTAAAGCATTGCAGTGAGATTGACACACATGCACTGCAAATAGAGAGAGAATCATTTCCAACTTTTCTATTAACGATTTTATTTTTCATTACTTCGAAGTTTACAACAAAAACAAACATAATATTAGGAGCTAAGTAGCACGGAAACGCGAAATGGGAAACGCGAGAAACGGAATTTCAAAAAATATACTTCGTATATGATACAAAATGTGGGGAAAACACGTAAGAAATAAAAATATAAGGATATATTTATAATTTATAAATATTTTTCATATATATAGTATATACACCTTTTTCATTTATATCATCATAATCATTACCCCAGTGCCACAAAGGCTTCCACCTATGGTGGGGTAAGGGGGGGTCGGATGTACGCAGCCTTACCTCTGTTTTCATTTATATATATATATATGTGCACAATTGCACATATTAATTTTCATATAAATTTGTTTGGTAACCAATAACAAATACATTCTACATGTCCAAATTTAGAAATAATTGCATATTAGCACATAATTAAACATAAAATGCAATACATTTCTAGCAATGTATTGTGTATGAAATATCACAATGTTGCTTGGTAGATATTGCATATAAACTCACTATTTTTTTTAAAAGTCACTATTTCCAATCAAAGAATCCCATCAAAAAGAAAAAACTGGAAACCCAAAGTTTCCAAAACGCTAATTATTTAGGAAAGTGGGTTTCCTAATTCTTCTTAATTACATAAATGGACCCAAAACGGGAATTTGAAGTTTCCAAAATGCGCCCGAGTTTCTGAAACGGGGAAACATGAGCCGCGGGAAGTTTTTGTGCTTCATAGATTAGGAGGTATGTGAACTACTCCGTATTTAATTACAAAACTAAAAAACATTGATAAATAAAGCTAAAAATCATAAACCATGATAAAAAAAAAAGTAAAAATATGGATGCATAGGTGGCAGGCCACCACCCGATTAGTGACTTAGGTCCAGCGCTTTTTAGAATTGTGACCAGCTACAAGTAGAAAATAACCACGGATGGAGTATCAGAATCAAGCAATCCACCAGAACTAAATTTCAAATGAATGAAAGAACAAATGAAACACCACAAATACACTCACCTTGCGGGTTTGTGCCCTGATCTTCTTGCCGCTGCAAATCATTAGAGAATGCAATTACTGCAACACATTCCGAAAAATTGAAATTCTGAATTCTTTAATAAAGAATCCATATTGGGAATGTACTTGAGGTATGCTATCCATAATATCTCCAACCATCAAGTAATATATACAATGAATGTAGCAGGGATATTGGCACTGACACAGAAATGTGGGGATGATATTTACCAAGGTGGAGCCCAGATGCATATTTATTGGAGAGGAAATTATAAACATTGGTAGATATTGGGGGGACAATATTGCTAAGGATGTTTTTACTTGGACTGTAATCCGTCACAGACCAGACCTCAGACCAGACCAGTTCGCACCAGACTTGGATAGTATAAAAATACAAAGAGACCAGATATTACCAGACATGACCAGTTCAGACCAGATCAGACCAGACCAGCAAATTACAGTCCAAGTAAAAACATCCTAAGGGGGAATACAAATACTCCCTCTGTCCCTTAAAACTTTGACATCTTTCCTTTTTGGGATGTCCCAAAAAACTTTGCCACTTTCCCTTTTAATCAATATTTTGTGGTTTCTGTTATTTCTCTCTCCTAAACCTCAACCACACAGTTTTTACTTTATTATTCTCCGTGCCGGACAACTTTGGCAAAGTTTTAAGGGACGGAGGTAGTAGTAATTACATGGACATATGAGTGTGGAAAAGAGATGGACATTAGATTAGCATTATGTCAAGTTGGACCCAGTTAATACTCTCTTAATGCCTCCAGACCAATGAGGCATGCTCTTACGAAATTATCTGTTGTAGTGTGTTGTTGGTTGAACTCACAGTTTGCCCTTGATGAAATACAGTGATCTCCCTTCTGTCCAATCTCCCCTCTTTCTTGCTTACTTGAGCCCTCCTATCATAACTCAGAAGTGAAAAAACACAGAAAAAGGTCAAAATGGATCCATGAATCCTAATTCCAAAGTAGAAAGGAAGCCTATCATGTGGCTCAGTGTCCATGTTGAAACAAAAAAAAAACTTTTCGATTTATTTTTTTCATTTTTGAAATGTGGAAAGCATGTCTGCATTTATCTGAAAGTGCTTTTGGCAAACACAGCTTGTTGTTTATTTTAACTTTTGCCACGTGCTTTGAGGCAAATTATAATTAATACTCATGTTATACAAACAACACTCAAAATTCACTGAAAATTACTGAACAGACTTGAATATAAAAATCACTTGTATCAGCTCACTTTTACTAAGCTTTGTTTATAGTCTACTTTCCGCCAATAAGCTTTTACAAACTAAAACCAAAACGCACACTTGGCAAATTGTTGCAAGACAACCTTTTTCTATTAGACTCATCAGGCTTTGAAGACTTGGCCTCCCTCTCTACATCCTCAGGGGAATGAATATCATCAACTACAGCTCCGCCGCCATCACCCTTTACATGTCCAGGGATACCATCACTGGGAAGTGTAATTCCCTGTAAAGAGGGATGTAATGTGTGTTGGAAGATGTCATAAGCTAAGATATCAGTATCCGTACATGATAATGCAATATGCGAAGGGAAATCGGCATATACCTTAGCAACAACTTGTGCAAGATCTTCAGATAGAATCACAAGCGTCTCTATGACATTTCCACTAGTTACATTTGCTTCCTTACTCCCCTTCTTGACCATTGTTGCTTTCTTCAAAACAATCGCTATCCCAATAGGCATGGAAATAAGTCACTCCAACCCAGTGTCTAGTTTTGTAAGCAAAATATGAAAGTTTCTCAATGTGCAGTATTGGACTTCAAGATATTTGATGGAACCCACTCTTGATGGTAGAGGAGATCCAATGGCTCCACACATATGGAGAGCCACTAAGGATCCTTTGGTAACCAATTGTGCTCCACTTTATGTCACTTACTAAAGTGCTTTATGCATTAAAAAGTTTTTATTAGTCATTAGATCAATCAAATTGAGTAACCCATAGAGTACACCACATTTGTTGACCAAAGAAGCCTGGCTAATGTGCTCTTTAATATATAAATCCTTCACAAAATACTCCGTTAATAAGGCCAGTACACATAATTAGCAAGCTAAGAACCCTGATGCTCTAAATCGAACAAACAATTAAACTTAATTATTCTACGTAAGGGATTGTTACATCCATCTAAGTGTGAATCTTACCAACTGGATAAGAAAAAAGAAATTGAAGTTCTACCCCCTCTTAGTGAAGTAAGATCAGATAACAGAATGGTCAAATCGAAAACAATTTGAGCTGACAATAAAATCTATATGTAAGCATGATTAAGAAGATCCAATAAAGGATTTCAGATGCTAATGAAACTCACCATAGTTGTTGTCTACACAAGCAGTGTGGAATATACCAGAATAAATAGAGCCATCCTTCACATGAACATCAACCGGAAGGCCGACGATGCACATTGTGGTGAGCAACAAAACGTCGGAGACGGCGGCGTTTCCTTCCTCTGCAACTCCTCCTTGTCGGCAGCCCATATCTGATGATCACTCCTGAATAAAATTGATATGTATATATTCTTATAGGTTTGGAACATAAATAAAATCAATTATGTTGGTACGAGGTGGAAGTTTGCACAACTATACGAGGGGGAATCCAAACGAACTAGCAACTCTATTAGGAAGTACTGGGTATTTTGATTATTTTCCATTTCTTTTTTCGAATTTGGGAATGTTGGAAGTTATGGTGAATCAGCCCACAAAATGGTGATGTATCTTGTACTCATTAGCAATTCAAAAATTCTAGAGGTACCCCAAAATGTACCACATTTTGTACCCACCCCCCTGAATTGCCTGTGTACACAGGCAATTCGTTTGAAAGAGGGCAGGACTTTCTGTCCAAATGTCTGTGTACAGATTGGGGTACAAATTGGGATACCCCAAGCAGGACTCTTAGCAATTTAGCACTAGAGGTTCAGTTCGACATACAAAAGTTGTACTCATCAACACCACAGGTTCAATTCGACATACAAAAGTTGTAACTTACGTACATTACTATTGTGAGTTTTGAATATGTTTTTACTCCGACTGAAATTTACTGTTCTGGTCTGTTTAAATCTGGTCTAGTCTGAACTAGTCTGGTAGTTGTCTGATCTTTGTGTATTATATAACTACCAAAGTCTAGTCTGGTCTGGTCTGAACTGGCCTGGTCTGAGGCAGAAAAAAGTCGATGTAAAAACATCCTTATTCCTTGGTAAAACTTTCAACTTTCTTAGCACATGACCAACTGAGATATATGTGCGAGTTACTTTAATTAGTTTTTTCTAGCCTTGTATTTTCTGGATATGTACGTTTAAAAAATACTCTTTGTACAAGTCGGCTTACACGTTAAATGTTTTTTGGGGGGAAACTGTCAAATGAGTCCACGTACTATATTGAAAAAGTTAATTGTGTCAGTGTACAATTTTATCAATCAATTGGGTACACATAGTCTCAAATTTTAATCAATTTTGCCATTTGACCGGTAAACAACTGGTGACCCTTTTAATTGCTCACGTGGATGCCACTTGAGCTTTTTTTTTCTTTCCTTTTTTCCCTTTTAATTTTATTTCTTCTTCCTTTCTTTTTCCCCTGGTTCGTCATCCCCCTCTTCATCCGCAGCCTGCAACTCGAGTCTCCCACCTTCCTAATTCTTTTCACCCCCTTCTTCTCCAATCTTCCTGCAACTCATTCTCCCCTATTTTTCAATCTCTTTTCTTCTCCACTGCTTCTACCCCACGCCCCCACCCAATTCAACCCCTTCCCTTCGTTCTTGCAATCTTGCGCACCCCCTTCTCCTTTCTCTTTTCTTTCTTTTTCCTCTTCGTTTTGCTCTTCTTCTCCACTCCACTTCTTCTACTCCACTCAACATTATATCCCCATTCTTCCATGCCCAGAGAAGGCAACCCAATGAAAACCCGATGAAACCCCTTGCTCTTCTTTGATGGTGATGGCGGCAAAAGAGATAGACGCTGATGGTGACCGTGGCACTGCATGGGCGGAGCTAGGGGTGGGCCAACCTAGGCCCTGGCCCACCCCAAAATTTAAAAATACCTTAATTTTTAGTGTAAAAAATTCCGGTGTAAATTTTTTTCAAAAATATTCTTTGTACCGGCCCAGTGCGGCCCAGTGCTCTGGCTCCGCCCTCGGTGGCAGCGGATCTCAACAGGGTTGGCGGCGGCAGAGGTCGACGGCGGTAGAAAGGTGGAGAGGTAGAGAAGGGAAGAAGAAAGAAAAAACAGAAGAGAATAAAGAAAGACACGAGAAAGAAGAAAGAAGTAACGAAGAGAATAAAAGAAGAAATGTGGAAGAAAGAGGAAGGGAAGGATTGTTGGGAACAGAAGAAAGCTTTTTTAAGGAAAAGGAGTCTCTAATGCCACATGGACAGCCAAATCATTGCTTACAAGGAAAAAAAAGCCAAGCGGATGATGCACGCAGGCAGATAACCAGGGAAACCGGTCAATCACCTGGTAAAAGGCAAATTTGGTCATTTTTTGTAACTTAGTAGACTTAATTGGTTGAAAAAATATATGTGGACTCAATTGACTTTTTCGAAATAGTAGATGGACTGATTTGACAGTTTTCCCATGTTTTTTTCTTAGTGTAAAGACGATTTATTTTCATTTTAGTAAGGGAAAATGTATGTGATCCCGAAAAAATGAATTGTATGTCCCGAGATAGTTACTCCTAAATGTCATTTAGATCCAGTATTATCAACACAAATCAACACAAGTCTTTAACCGCGCACTTTGTCCTCAATCATACGTGCTCGAAAAAACTTCTCAGAGGTCACTTATTCTAAGATTACTCTGGTGCAAACACGCTTAACTTAGAGTTTTTAGCACGTGAACTCTCTTAAAAGGAGATGCACCTTATTTATATGAGTACTCTGGTGCTCGAAAAAACTTCTCAGGGGTCACTTATTCTAACATTACTCTGGTGCAAACACGCTTAACTTAGATTTTTTAGCACGTGAACTCTCTTAAAAGGAGATACACCTTATTTATATGAGTAGTAATTTCATTCATTTTTATGTTAGTCTTAAGTAATAAATAAACATTTGTTTAAAAAAAACGAATTATTGTTTTAGATTAGCTTGTATCTTTGCACGTTAACTAATTATTGATGTGTCATGCTACACGTTTTATATAAGCTTCATTGGTCTTCAATCATCATTTTATACTCCATCCCACAGTTCAAGTATGATTTACACGTAATATAACAAAATAAAATTTGTATGGTGAAATTTGTTCAAATTAGAGAAAGTTAATTTCACCATATATTCTTGACTTTAAATCAAAATGACAATTTTATTTTAAAACGGCTAAAAGAGAAAAAATGGCCAACTTTAATGAAACATAGGAAGTATAATTTTTTGGGGGAATTACATATATGGTCTCTCAGTTATCCACAAATTTAAAATCTTAGATTTGTATTTCTGAGATTGTAAATGTCACCCCTCAATTGTCCAAAATGTTGTAAATGTGGTCCTTTTAAGGGGTGAAATATACAATGTGAACGAGAGTACATTTCACTACTTAAAGGACCACATTTACAATAATTTGGACATTTGAGGGGTGACATTTACAATCTCAAAAATACAGGTCTGAGATTTTAATTTCGTGTATAAGTGAGGGACCATATATGCGATTTTCCTTTTTTTAGATAAACTTACGAGTTACTACTTAAAAGTGTATCGATCTGTGTTCACGACCAAATTCGCTTAAAATATACTACCTTTGTCCAATCGTCTCCCTAAGATTGGGACAAGAGGGGGTTGTGCGATTTTTTCTAAAAAAGTAGAATTGTGTAGTTATTATTGAATCAATAAAATAAGAATTAATTAGAATCATACAAATATTATCAAAACATGTGATAATTTTAGGGGCATAAACGAAAAAGAGAGACAATCATAATGGGGTGTGGGTAATTCATTTGAGAAATAAAAATCTTTTTTAGTATACAATGAAGTTGAAAGTATGAAAAATTGTATAGGAACGAGATGATTTATAACATATACGAAGTACTTAGGAAATTAAAAAGATATGTGTAGTATTTATCTGTTATGCTATCTTCGACTACTCTCTTTGTGACTTGTTTTTAGAAAACTCAAACATGGTGTAGAGATACTACTCTCATTGCTCTGGTATACACTACGTAGTACAATAGTACAAAGCAGTAATGTTCAAGATGGAGTACATATAGATATTTTGTTGGGAAAATGGAAACTAATAATCCAACCTTTTAGCGATCTTCTTACAATAATCCAACCTTTTGGTTATTCATGAATAATCCAACCTTTGCACTTCATCTTCATTCAATGGTCCCTGACCGGTTGATGACCTGCTATTCCAAGCTATTTTCTTATCTTTGCAAATCATTATACCATAAATTTCATCTTTCACAAAGATAATATTTTGCAAAGATGAGAAAATAACTTGGAATAGTAGGTCATTAACCGACCAGAGACCAATGAATGAAGATGAGGTGCAAAGGTTGGATTATTCGTGAATAATCAAAAGGTGGGATTATTGAAAGAAGACCGCTAAAATGTTGGATTATTAGTTTCCATTTTCCCTATTTTGTTTGGATTTAATGTATTTTTGTGTTAAGATGATACTCAATCAGAAGATTTCCCAAAATGGGCGTAAATAGCTTTCAAAGTTCCAAATTTTGATTAAAATAGAAGCCCACTTTCCATATGAGTAAAATTGTGGATTGAATCTATACCCTCAAATTAAAAGGCGCTTCATGGACACTAAGATATCCAAACTATATTATTTATAACACTTATAGAGTTTATGAGCAAAAAAGAGAAAGAAGGTGATGAGTAGTGTGTGAAGTGTATGAATAGATTAGGGTTTACAAGAAGCTCCGATAGAAGTCTATATAGAGAAAGAGCGGGCCCGGCCGCTAATATGGCCCTGACAAGTCTAACAGCATAAAAGGTTAATCTAGTAGATACAAATGATATGTGAATTGTACAATAATATGCATGTCCGCTAAGCGTATGGGGGCTGTGGTCAGCCCAATAGTTGTGAAATTGGGCTTCGAGTCTATATAATCTATCAGGAGCCTCCCACCATCTGAGGCAAGAGTACTTGATGCAAAAGAGAGTAGAATTATGTGCTGATTGGTCATCGTATGATGGAGTAATCTTCCATCGTTGCCAAGACACCTCACCTGAATTCTCAAGTCGTTGATCCTACGGGTGGTTCGGTATGGTATACCGGATATTTTCTCTCATACCTTTGCCGTACCAAAACTTTTGGTATACAAAATTTATATACTGTTACCTTACCGAAGTTTCGGTATACCGCATTTTGGTATACCGAAGTTTCGGTTCGGTAACGGTACGGTATCGGTAAATTACCATGCATGTCTCCCAATACAACAAATTATCATAGACTAACAAAATATACTAAATAGGTGTTACTAGCAATATATTTAACTATTATTAAAATTTTACAAAATACAAGTATGAATCTATTGATGTCACATTCAATATTGAACAGTAATAATTATTAGTATATTTAAGCAGTTCAACATGCCACATATTAAAAAGGGGAAAGTACAGAAAAGGTACTTGTGCTTGGACCCATTTTCAGATAGAGTCATGTGTTTCATTCTTTATCAAAGTGGTTCATGTGTTTGAATTTCGTTATCACAAGAGGGTCACGCCGTTAAAAACATCTAAAAATGGCCGT